AAAAAGTTAAAACATAACATTTTAAGCACATAGTCCATATAAAAAGTTGGTTTTATATGCACAAAAGGCACTGCAAAAATAAGATTATGGGCAAAAGAGCAACCAAAATAGTATTTGAAGAGGGAGAGTATCCTTATTCAGAATTTTTAGGGGGGGAAATGCAAAAATGGGAGAATTTCTAGGGGTGAAGTGCATTTTGTCCTTAATAATTACATATTTTTCAATTATGCCCTTATTAACTCCACAACATTCATCATGCATTAATTAGTAAACAAACGTATTTTAGTCTAACAATCTCTATTTTTCTAAAATCAACCTGTGCCAAGGTAAAAAAAAAACGACACTTATTTAGGAATGACGAGAGCAATATAGTACGTGGATAATATGACACGTGTGATCAATTTAATCCAAATTTATGTGTGTGTTCGTGTAAGAAGATGATAATAGGGGGGAAAGAACAAATGCATGTTGTAAGTTGTTTGCATGATTAATTACTCACATTTTGAATGAATGTTTGGGGGTGGGGGTGGGGTGGGTGAGGTGGGGGTTGGTATATATTATTAAAAAAAAAAAACAATAGATAATATACAAAATTTTAGTTAAATAAATGAAATATAATCAAAGGAGATCTCATGTACAAAGCGTATCTCTTAATTAAACAAATTAATCACCATGGCATAAGGTTCAATTCAATGCATCTGATTTTTATAATTTTTTTTTTTTTTTTGCTTAAAGAACCAATTCAACAACTCATTTCCAACATTATTAATTGTTTGACAAAATTAAATAAACAATAAAAAATAATTAGGACTAACTAATTTCGCGTCTTCCTACATAGGATCTTAATTAAGTTTCAATATATGTAACATGTCCTAGGTGTTCACTATGTGAAATACTACGTGCATATGTGTTTTGGCCTTACTCTCATTTTTTATTTTTATTTTTATTTGAATTCATTTTTAGGCGTATTTATTTTGTTATGGGTGAAAGTTGGAAATAAATTACCAATTTCTGTTAGTTTTTTTTGTTCTAATTTCCAAAATTCAGATATTTTCTGAATTTTTTGGATTGGAATTGGAATTATATAAAAAGTATTAGAAATTTTCGATATCCGATCCGATTTAATTTCTGAAATTAATTTCAAAAATTGATTTTTTTTTTCCTGAAACTTCTAAAAATGTTAAAACTCATGTGGTTTGCGGAATTTACATAGCTTTTGGAATTGAAATGAATTTCTGAATTCCGAAATTTTTGGAATGGAATTTGATGATGCTAGAATTAGATCACATTAGACAGTTGAAGTAGGATGAGTTGGAAGAGCAAAATAGATCACTGGCTCACGAGGTTGATGACCTTGAGACACCTGCGATCATACACGTAAACTAAGCCGGGGGTTGATCCGGAACCCCCTCTGACGCTCAAGTCATGTTGTAGTATTGCTCAGATAATATGACGTACATTTAACAAATAATTGAATATTTATTTATACCTCGTTGATTGAGCTGAAGTTAATTCGTTGAACTTTAACCCTATTTGAAGGTGTTTGTGCTTTCATAGTAGTGGCCTTATAAATCGGGCTTATGACCCAATAAATAGGGAAATTGTAAACCATTTGAGTTGATCCAATTAAATATATCATAATTAATTTTGTACTTTCGAAAACAATTGATTTTTTTCGAAAATGATAATATCGATCGATTCCATTTGACATCTTGTAATATATAGTTTAAAAAAGTTAAGTCAATTTCTCCCCTTCCGAGTGATTCATGACATATTAGTAAGGAATATTCCTAAAAAATAGTACTAAATATAAATCAATTTACTCCTAAATTACCTAGCATTAATTATAAACAAACGAAATTTATATATAAAAAATAAAATCACAATAGAAAGGGAATAAAATAAGTGTTGACTTCAATCCAATTCGCAGGCAAAAAAGTCAAAATTTGATTCTCTTTTCTTACTTATTCTTCTTTATATTTTTCTGAGGTATCAAATTGTGGATGACTTTTTTTTCATATATATATTATATATATAATCATTTTGTGGATGACTATGCTACCACCTTACAATTTATATATATATATATATATATATATATATATATATATTGAGTTCAATTTAAAATTTGGAAAAAATAAATGAAAAATATTTAGGTTTATGCGCCTATGTATTATATGTTTTTTGATAGTATTAGTAAAATGATAAATAAAAAAATAAATGTTTAAGAAAATTAGCGAATTTAGGAACAAAAAATGAAAATGAGCAAATCGAAACAATAAACTCGATTCTTCAATTCGTTATTAAAATATTTATCGATTTATTCTTTTAATTCAGTTAATTGCTATGCACTTACAGGAAATCTACACTTATCTCACAGATAACTATTGTCAAAAAAATCATCGACCCCTAATTTGGAAGCATCATTGAATTTTTTTTTATATATTGTTTTTTATCATTGAAAATTTTAGTGGAAGGTAAGTGGAGATTTACTATAGTACATGGATTTGTTGAAATCATAAAAACATAAATTTCTTCATCAAAGATTGCTTAAAATCTCCATCAAAGAAAAAGTTGAAAGATCTTGTCAAGAAAAATAAAAATAAAAATCTCCTCCATCCCATGTAGTTTCAACAAATCATTGCACATCAAGATGGCATACATGGTAAATGTTAAAGAGTTTGAATTCATATTGACCATCTAAAAATAATCATATTGACTCAACAAAATAATAATCCTTAAAAAAATACATGAGTGATGTATCCAATATTTTTATAGATTTTAGGGTAAATTACAAACACCCCCTGAGGTATGGTCAAATTACAAAAACCCCCCTCTTGTTTGGATAATTACATCTACCCCCCTCAACTATGATTTTTTCTTAGACCTCCACCTTTATGGTGCCAAATTCAACATAGTCATCTAGATTCCGTGAAATGTGCTCTACTTTGTACTCTTTTTGTGTAAAAAAGACAGTTTCCGATGCACCACAAACTGATATATACAAGCTAAAAATCACATATTATGGTCATCTTGCTTCATAATGTAGAGTTTGAATGGGATAAAACGGGTACAAAAGTGATAATATTCCATATAATCTCGAAGATTCCACTAAATTTGATGAGTTGAGGGGGTGGTTATAATTATCCAAACAAGAGGGGTGTTTTTGTAATTTGGCCATACCTCAGGATGGTGTTTGTAATTTACCCTAGATTTTATTAATGTTTGAATTTTTATGTAAGGAGAAAAGTATCATAAAAATCAATGGCGAAACAAGAATTTTCTACTGAAAAACATTCGATGGTTCAGTGCAAGTGCAACACCCTCCGATTGATTAATTTAACTATGTATAAATGACTTGCTATAAAACCATGTATTTTACATAAACTTCGATCAACGATTTTTTAATTTTCACATTTACGAAAATATCTAAATATCCCATAAAAAAAATTATATACTTTTTAAAATTTTATCCCCAAATTGATTAATAGACAAAATTATTAAAAAAAAAAAATAGAAGCACTAAAAATACATGCATGGGGCACAAAATTGAATGGCCATGGGAAGCAAATCTTAAAAGGGAATCAAAAGAAATTGCCCTCTCTCTCTCTCTCTCTCCTATCTCTCTCTTAGCACCATTCCCCACCTGCTCACACCTCCATAAAGCCACCATTGCTGACGTCACCTGTATCTCCTAGGAAAGATTTTTATGGGACCCACCCCTAATAACCTTCAATCCCAATATAACCAATCTCTCTCTCTCACACACATTTATTTTAAATAAATCCTCCCTTCCCTTCCCACATAAAAAAAGAAAAAAAACCCATTTTCAAGATTCAATTTTTATCCCATTCTTGAACTAGTAGTATTTTTTTGCTTGCTTGCCTTGTAATTCAATTCAATTCAAGAAAATCTTTGATTGGAAATCTTGATCAGATCTTGCTTTGTGGGCTCTGTGGATTTTCTTGTGGACTACTCATATATAATTAATTATATTCTTCTTTAATTTCTTCTATCTCCCCCAATTTTCTTTCTTTCTTTGTGTTGAAAAATTTGGTGCAATGGGATTGGCTGCAGCAGATGCTCAGTTTCATGTATTAGCAGTTGATGATAGCTTGATTGACAGAAAGCTTATTGAGAGGCTTCTCAAAACTTCTTCTTATCAAGGTATAATAATTCTTGAATTTTTTATTAAAAAAATAAAATATTTTGTGGCTTATATATATATATATGGATATTGTGGCAGTTACTACAGTTGATTCTGGTAGTAAAGCTTTGGAATTTCTTGGTCTGAATGAAGTTGAGATTGGCAATGAAGATGAAGCCTGTGTTTGTTCCAAGAATTCTCAGGTTTTTTAATTTTTAATTTAATTTGATTTAATTTAATTTGTTTGGAGCAGTATTGTAATAGAAATTGTTGTCTGGTTGTGACAGGATGTGGAAGTAAACCTTGTTATTACAGACTATTGTATGCCTGGAATGACAGGCTATGATTTGCTCAAGAAAATGAAGGTATTTTAATTAATTATTTATTATTTATTATTTATTTAACTTTTGAATTATTATTCTGTATTTATTTAATTATTTTGCCATTTCTGATTAGTGAAAAATAATTTTTACATTTTATTTCAAATTAATTGTTATTTTTGGTATTATCCTTCATTTAAAATTTTACAAGTTGCATTAATTATTTTCTTCTTCTAAATCATCTTATTACTTAGTAAATTCTGGTTATTGAGATACTACACTCGGTGAAATATATCGGATGATTTTTAACATTTGATACGGCGAAATAACTTCCCACTAATTACACATACAGATCGGTGTGTGAGATTATGTGCAGATCAACGGTTAATAATCACTGAGTTTAGTATCAAATAAACCGTAAATTCTCACCAATCCAGAGAGTAGTTAATGAAAGTAAAACAATTGGAAATGTACTCTAGTTCTATTCTATTTTCCGCATATATATATTTTTAAATAAATTCTTAGCAATCAAGAGAGTAATATATGAAAATAATATAGTACTATTACATTTTTCTAAACCTATATATATATATATATATATATATATATATATATATATATATATATATATATATGATTTGACGTGGCATGACAAGATTGGGTCCTTTTCTTGGCATTGAATTGAAGATGAATAAGAATCTTTGCACAATCTTTTAAAAATCTTTCCTCCCCCACCTAATCTATGTTATTTATTGATGGGACATTTACTAATTCCACATGCTTTTTTATTCATTATTTCCAATTAATAATAAATATGTGGGGTAAATAAATTTCTTTATTTATATTATTTAATGAAATTGTAATAATAATAAATATGTGGGCTTCCTTATTTATTTGGCAGGAATCTTCATTCCTGAGAAACATACCAGTGGTAATCATGTCATCTGAGAATGTCCCCTCAAGAATCAACAGGTAAATAAATAAAATAATTAAATAAATTATATTAATTAATTAATTATCTACTGGAAATTTCAAATTATTATTTTTTAATTAATTAATTAAAAAAATAATAGTTAAAATTGATTGAAATTAAACAGATGCTTAGAAGAAGGAGCAGAGGAGTTTTTCCTGAAGCCAGTGAGATTATCAGATGTCAATAAGCTGAGGCCCCATATGGTGAAAAAAGCTAAAAGCTGTTTGGATGTTGAAAAGCCTGAAAAAGTCGAAAAGCTAGAAATTCAAGAAGAGGAATTACAGACAACACAGCAAACAGCTCAATCCAATAACAACAATAATAATAATAATAATAATAATAATAATAATAATAATAATAATAATAATAATAATAATAATAATGGGAAGAGAAAATCAATGGATGAAGGCCATTCACCAGACAGAACAAGGCAAAGATATAATAATAATAGTGACCTCATTTTCATATCCAATTAATTACTGTCAAATAAGGGTTTTTTTTTAATTAATTAATTACTAAAGTTTGAGGCTTTTATTTCTTTATTTTTTGACCTTTGTCATATGTATAGGGGAGATTGGAATGGATAAATGTAAGTGTTCATCATATTCATGATGAAAAATATATTCTGTACACAATTTAACATTATTATATATTTTCACTCAATTTTTTGTTTTATTAATTTTATGGAAATTAAAGGGATATATGATTAATATTTTGTTTTATATATATATATATATATATATATATATATTATTCACATTTATTCATATTGTTTTTTTAATAAGTGACACAATTGGATAAATCTATTGGGCCTCGAAGTGCAGTCCAATTCAAAAGGCTACCTACAAGTTTAGCCTGCACTATTATTGGACCAATGGGCCAATAACCAAGAAATTATTTATACCTATTTAATGATATGTTGGTTAATATTCTTCATATGATATGATAGTGTAATAACACAAATAATTGATAAATCTTGATTTATTGTGGGTGAAACATAATCTTAGTACCAAATTCATGTGCCTAATTGGATTTTTGGTATATAAAGGCACAAATCAATCTGATACTGTGATAGATTTCTGATTTGAGCATATGAGGAAAATCATCGGATCACTCCCGACGTGTTATCTAGTGTTTTCAACTGTTTTAAGTTTTAACGAGTGGTCGACTACCTTAGACACGTGAAAGTAATTAACTGTTTTATGGGTTAACGAGTGGATCTCTTCTCTTGCGGGCTCAAATTGTGTTACTCAATCGACATTTCAGCAGCAACGAGTGGCTTCGTCATCTCGACTACCTAAGACACTAGTAGTAATCTTCAGCAACCTCTACTCTTGCGGGCTCAAATACTCTTAGGTGGCCCAATTGACATCTGAACAACGAGTGGAGCTGTTCTTTCGATTACCTTGGACACGTGGCAGTAACTCTCAGCATTCAATAAAACTATTAATGTATTATTCAATAAAAAAATTGCAATAATAATACAACCATGTATGAGAACCATGCATTAAACAACTCCAACCAAAAGAGGAATCCTAAATCATAAGCTAATAGTATAAATTAAATTCTCTAACCAAATTGTATTAAATTAAACTAATGGGTAAACATCAAGAATGTATAACTAAAGTTGGTCCACAAAGATAAAAAGTTGCAACTTCAATAAGAAACTTAAGCCTACTTAGATTTTATTTTGGAATTATGATCCAATCTTTGTTGAATGTCATTGGCTTATATTTCAAATATATGTTTAGAATGGACCCCAAATTTCCTTTAGAAAGAATTAACTCAAATTTTAATAAAATATATGAAAGATATTTAGTTAATTCATATAATTATATAGTTTTGATTTGGCCTTTCGGATCTAGATAACTGATTACCATTTGTTCTTGCAAATTAATATAATTGATGGAGTAAGAGAGTATAAAATCGTATAACTCGCGTTTAGTAAGTTGAATGAATATTTTAATATTTTTATATAAAAAAAAAAAAAACTCGAATTCGATTCTCTTTATCAACGTTTTTAGGTCCAGTTTATCACATATAATTTATGCTTAACGTGATTACGTGTCTTATATAGTTTGTAGACTATTATACGAGAGAAATATGTATCTAATTTACATATATAATTATAATTGTGTATTATTTTGTTGTTAAGAAAAAATGATTTTGACTTTTGATTGACCGCAGCCTTTAAATTCAATTAATTTGTTTTTTGGAAGGGTGCCAGTCATCCGTGCGCCGCGGATCGCGGGACCCACTTACTTATTTTTTTGTCTTTTCTTTTTCCAGTAAACTAGCACACTTGTACATTTTGAAACAAATGTTGTACGTCAATTGGATGATTTGAATATTTGGTCTGGCAGTCATTATTTCTCTTTAAATGCTAACGGCCAACCATTTTCTTTATTGCCAGAACCGATACCTGCATCAAAACATTGTGCGTTTCGGAGCAAAGGTTGTACCCGGTTTGGTAACTGTGAATATTCTCCTGGAATTAGTAAAAAATGAAATACATGGCAACTTGACCCTATGGTGGCAGAGCTCTGCCCATCACTTTTATCTCTCTCTCTTCCCCTTCTCTCTCTAGAAACATTGCTCTCCTGTAATCTCGCAACCGAAAAGGAGCGCTGTGAAAAACGCCAACATAATTTCAGGTGAATTAAATTGTATTAATTTTGAACAAAAAAACCTATGATTTCCTAGGGTTTTAATTTACGTTTGATTCATTTATTTTCGCGTGCAATTGCGTGAATTCGTGCGTGTGTTTGCTCTACTGGCGTGATCTTATTGTTTGGCGGTGGTTATTTTTTTTTCTTCTTTTTATGATTCTACCCTGGTAATTAATTTTGTTGTCGGTTTTATGATTTTGTTATGATCATAATTGATGGTTGGTTTAAACTTTAAAGCGATATCCGGAATTATGATCTTGGTTGAAGATTGAATTTCATGTTGTTGTAGCTTGTGTATTGTGATTTGTGGATTATTATATTGTTTATTTTTTCGAGGATTATTGTTTTTTTTTTAATTAAATAAAACAGAATTGATTCGATTATGGCTTTGCTTCCCCTACATAATAATAATTTCTTTTAGGAACTACAATTTGAGATTCATGCTTCTGTAAGAAAAAAATGCTCAATTGTCGAACATGGTTGGTAATGTTAAGGAGATGTTTATGCGTATAGAAAATCGTCCTTTCGATCTATGTACTTGCATCAGTTGTTTTCTGTCCCGTTTAGATATATTATTTTGCTGCTTGTGAATATCGAATTTGCTGTTTGTCAATTATTAATTATGTTTATGAATATTGAATAATGAACTTCAGGCTACACGGAGTATCGGATTGACAAGAAACACTGGAGTTGACATTTGTGCGCTTGAGCTGTTTCGAATGATAAATTAATCAGCCGAAATTATATTCGTCTTGTCAGCAAACTTGAAAAATGTCCAATGGAGACGTAAGAAAAGTCTCCCTGCAGGATATACAGTTGGTAAGTTTCTGGCCTAATTTGTGTATCTGGTTTGTTCTATTTAAACGGGCTCATTTATTTGAAAGCACCAAGTGAAAAAAATCAGTTTGCAAAACAGAATTGCATATGAGGAAGTAGATGTCTCTAGTTTGTTTCTGTATCAAGATAACGATTACATGGCGATCCACAAATTTGAAGGAACATAGTATACGGATTCTTTCTATGTAGCTTTGACCGTAGCATTCCAAGAAGTTGACTTATATTGACCTGCTCCAGCGCCTTTCTTAGGAACCACCTTATGTAAATTTTCGGATATTTAATTGTTAAACCTTGTGATGTTTTCCCGGTATCAGGTTCAAAATCTTATAGAAAGGTGTCTTCAGCTTTACATGAGTCAGAGGGAAGTCGTGACTACCCTGTTACAACACGCAAAAATCGAGCCTGGTTTCACTGAACTTGGTAATTTAAAACTTCCTTCGTAAATCTTTTTATCTTCTATTGTCTATGTTTTCTTTCTTAGGTGTGGTTTTCATCGTTAAGCTAATTAAAAATGCCGGTGACTGTGTTATGTGCTTTCAGATAATCTATATCACATAGGTGGTAGACCTTAACTTGTTTACGACAGATTTTGACACTAGATGTGTGATTGAGCTTTAGATAAAAAAAAATTAGGACATCAATCTCCTTTTGAAGCATTTTTTATTTATATCTCTTTTCTAAAAGCAGTCAACTTTTGTCGGGACTAATCATACTGAATTTATTGGAGGATAAGTTTTATTTTTGCATTTTATATCCTTAAAGTTCTTTTGGTTGTCAATCTTGTCATAATTTAAGGAACTTCTGCTCATCTGGACATGCTGCTCTATGATATATTTAGTTCATGAGATTCTTTTTTCCAACGGAAACTTTGAGCTAACAGTCTATGGGTTATTACATTTTAGTAGTACTATTTTTATTTTATCTTCTTGGGGCTTGGGCCGGGGGTGGCAAAAGTTGCTTACGAGGAAATCTTTCATTGAATGTTGGTCAGTAGTTTGACCAAAATATCGACCTCTGAAGTTAGCTTTTCTCAGATAGTAATAAAAAAAATGTTGTATGCTGAACAATTTCCGTTGCATGACAAATTTTCAAACTCAATTTCTGTATTTTTCCTTAATCATGGCTGTTGTATGTTCGAAATTACTAAAATAATATTTGGGCCCACCTTCTAGTGTGGCAAAAACTTGAAACAGAAAATCAGGATTTTTTCAAAGCATATCATCTGAGGCTGATAGTGAAGGACCAGATATTGCGATTCAATCAATTGCTCGAGAGACAGGTTGAGCTGATGCACCAAATAGGCCAGACCGGAGCTGTTACCATTCCTCTGTCTAATGGATCTCACATTCATTCAAGTAAGCTTACTTTTAAATACGACTAGACCCGGGCTTACAGATACTCAAGTGTGCATGTTGCTGTAACTTTTTTTTACTATGCATATCGAAATATGATATTCAGATTGCATTTCTTGTCCTACATGGTGAACTATATATTGACACAAAACTATATATTTACATTCTCGTTACATTTTGGCAGTGGACCACACCTCACCTTACCAGACTCCACAATCTATAAAGCCAGAAAACATCCACCAAACAATCAATTCTATCCCCAATGTTTACACTAATGGTACATCCTCCATGCAACAACAATGCATGCAAGTTGCAGTCAATATGGCAGGCCATGCTGGAAGGATCGACATGTCAGCGAATAATAATATGCTATTTGCTCAGAGCTCGAATTCTGGGATGATGCATGGATTGAATGGGGGCCAGATAAAAACGGAATGTGGCTATGTAGGCGATTCCCCCCTTATGTTTGGTTCAGACAGCAATCTTCTAGAACCTCGTAACGCAATTGGAGAAGTATCGAACTCTCCTTTTAACGGTGGAGAATCCAGCTCGGAGGCATTAAACGAGGCTATGTTGGATCCAGAGACAAACTCGTTCGGATTTTTGGGACAGATTTCAAGAAACTTTAGTTTGTCAGACTTGACAGCTGATTTTTCTAATAGTACCGGTTAGCCCTTCTTCTCTCCTAATAAATAGGAAAAAAAAATGAATAAACTTAAGGAGCTCTTATTTAATAAAATCTTTTCAGATATACTGGAGAGCTACTCTAGGTCTCCATTCATGGGAACGGATACAAACTTCCTGGACCCACAAATTAGGGGTGAACAACAAGGTAAGGTTTTGTGTTATTTAATGTTTTCTCGGATATAAGAGGGTAAAATTGTAATTTTTTTTATTTTTTAACTTTCGAGCAGATATTAGGAGGTTGGACACTATATCGGAAGGGTTTAGTTATGAAGATTTTGGCAGTGATTGAAGGAATTGATTAAATGGTACTCCTCTTCACCCACTATCCGCTTAACTCTCGTTTTTTATGACCTCTTTGATTTCAGTTATATGGTAATTATCTTCGTTCTTGGGATATTTTGTTGTTTGCAGGGTCAACTGTTTCTTCGTAAATAGTTTATAGATTGGAGACGGTTCTTAGTATCAAACAAATTGAAGGGTATCTATCATTCATGTGTTCTGAGGTAATAATTTAGGCATGATTAATGGCATTCATAGGATTTATGTTAGATAAGTTTACATGTTTAAGCCTTGTCTGTAGACTGTATGTGTTGATTTATTTTCCTAAATTTATGTAAAACACATCTAGTTGTAATTAGTAATTACTATATTGCAAAATTGCCACATAGAAAAGGTGGTGGAATAAAAATTCTATGGTGTTTTCTTCTTTAAAAAAAAAAAACTCAGATTAATTTTACAATTTGCAATTCAACATTTCTATTTTCTTTGTACACTTTTTTTTTCTTTTTTCTTTTTTCAAATTGTAGAAAAAAAAAATGAAGTTCTATATTTGCAAAGCCCTACTTGTATCCAATTCCGGCAAGGTAATGCCACCCTCGGGATTGAAGAATTAACCGATGCGCCCGTCCATTTCCGTTTCGGAAAAGGGCTCTGTTGAGATGTCGATATCGAAATCCGGCTTATGCCATTAGGTGTAGGCGCTTTCCAGAGGTGGAATTTCTAGTTCTTCCTATTTGACCCGAAACCGATCGATCTCGCCATTCCAGCTCTTGATGAAAGAGTTGACGAAGTGGTGGGCCCCACTGAAAAAAGGTTCTTCGAGCATCCGAAATCCTACGGTTTGGATTGCGGTGGAAGAGCCAGGGGAGGCCGGGTCATTTGACGGAAGTTGAACCCTTTTCCGCATCATTTACTAAAACGATGATCTGATCTCGTTGTGGAAAAGTAGAAGCTGGTAATTTTTAGTAAATTGTGAAATAAATTATTATTTCTAATGTCGACGGTTTTTGTAAATGTTCCGAAAAATCAACTTTAAACGATCAATTTACAAGAATGATGTATTTCCAAAATGAACTTTAAATTTTCAGCTTATTTTTGTAAAAATCTTCAATGAGTTCAGAAAATAACAATAATAATAGTGATAAATAAGAACAACAATAATTATTAACGTCTAATGCAACTTATAATAAGCAGGAACTTATTGAGGTCCATTTGTTAGGGCAAAATCTAAATCGGAAATCAAATCATTGACATCTTCGATTCCGACAGAGATACGGATAAGATCTTCGGTTAAACCGTTGGCTTCTCGTACTGCTGCGTCTACGTTCGAATGACTCATAAAGCAAGGCAATGTGATCAGTGACTTCACACTCCCTGCAATTCCAATTCACCTTTTATTTCTATTTATTTATTTTAATTATAAATTTAAATAATAATAAAAATGAAAATAGGAAATTACCAAAACTGACAGTTATGCTGAAGAACTTGGTTGTTTCAACCACGTGCTTAGAAAGTGCAAGTGACCCTGTTTTGAAACTGAGCAAAGATCCTGCTCCCTTTGCCTGCATCAACATATTTATTATTTTTTTTTTAATTTCATTTTTGGAATGGTTTTTTTTTTTCTTGATTATTACTTTATTTATTTTAATTTAATTTAATTTTTTTTTATGGCTACCTGAGAGTAGTGTAAAGATCGGCCTGGATGACCGGGAAGACCAGCGTAGTTGACCTTCGTCACCCGCGGGTGAGTCGAGAGAAACTCCGCGATTTTTTGTGCATTTTCCTGCTCATTTCAAATTAAAGAAATTAAATATAAATAAATAAATAAAATCAAAACTTACCAAAAAAAATAATGAAATTAAATAAAAAAAAAGCACCTGTTGCCTCTCAACACGTAGAGCCATGGTTTTGAGGCCTCTTAAACAAAGCCAACACTCAAATGGAGCTAACCCTGAACCCTCTGCATTTTGTAGGAAATGCACTTCTTTTGCCAAACTAATTAATTATTTAATTAATTATCAACCAAAAAATAAAAATTAATTAATTAATTAATTAATTACATGTTTACAAACTACAATTAACAAAAAATATGATACCTTTCTCCCTTAATAGCAAGCACACCAGCCATGAGATCACTGTGACCAGATACAAATTTAGTGGCTGAGTGCATTACAATATCTGAAAATTAATTAAAGAAAGGGATTATTTAATTTATTAAACCATAATCACTAATTAAATTAAAATGATTATTATTAATATTAGATATAATTATTACCGGCACCAAGATCCAACGGTTGAGACAATATTGGAGACATGATACTATTATCCACCAACAAAAGAGCTCCATGATTATGAGCTATCTCAGCTATTTTCTACATCACAATTCATTTAAAAATAATTAATAAAAAAATCGAAATAACGTAATATTTTCGATTTTAATATTATTATCGAAAACATACTCGAATATCGCAAATGTGTTGCTGTGGGTTTGTTGGACTCTCTAACCACACGAGCTTCGTCGACGGGCCGATTGCAGACGCAACCTTTTCCAGGTTTTTCATATCCACTCTCCTAAGTAAATAAATAAAAACTCAACAAATATGTTTAAATAATTTTTAAAAAAAAATAGGATATAAGCAATTAATACTCACTTAACGACGACCCCTGATTTAGGAATTACATGCGACAACAAACGATCGGAACCACCGTACATGTCATCACCGGCAACAATCTCCTCTCCTGTCAATATATTAATTCAAATCATATTTATTTAACCTATATATTACATATATATACATATACGTATATGTATATGTGTATGTATATGTCACTAGGAAAAACCGAAAAAGTACCAGTTCCGACAAGATGAGCAACGGTCGATAAGGCAGCCATTCCACTAGCAAAGCAAAATGCTCGATCGGCTTTATGCGGTGTCTGAGAAGTCC